ATACTGCTGCAGGGAGCAGGGGTGTTTCCAAAGAAGGCTTTATGGTGACAAGTGCCAGTGAGGGGGACTTTGAGTGGGTGCACTTCTGATGAAGACACAGCAGGATAGGGAGACTGTTTGGGTTGCAAGATGCTTTGAGGGCAGGCCTTTGCCAGCTTCCTTGCAGAGGAGAGTGTGCAGCCTACCTTCTGTGGGCAATCATGGGGAGAGTGCTCTCCCTCACATATTGTCTGCTTTGTTTTTAAGTTTTTTTTAAAAACCACATTGCACATGGATTTTATTTTATTATTATTATTATTTTTTGAGTTGGAGTCTCACTCTGTCGCCCAGATTGGAGTGTAGTGGCACACTCCCAGCCACTGCAGCTTCGACCTGCTGGCTCCGGCGATCCTTCTGCCTCAGCCTTCCAGGTAGCTGGAACTACAGGCACGTGCTACCACACCCAGCTAATTTTTTTATTTATTGTAGAGATAGGTCTCGCCAAGTTGCCCAGGCTGGTCTCGAACCCGCGGGCTCAGGCAATCCACTCACCTCAGCCTCCCAAAGTGCGAGATTACAGGCTGAGCCACTGAACCCAGCTTGGATTTTATTTTATTTTATTTTTGAGTTGGACCCTCACTCTGTCACCCAGGCTGGAGTGCAGTTGCATGCTCATGGCCACCCCAGCATTGACCTACTGGGCTCCAGAGATCCTTCCGCCTTAGCCTTCCAAGTAGCCAGAACTACAGGTGTGCGCTACCACTCCCGGCTAATTTTTTGATTTGTTGTAGAGACAAGGTCTCGCTAAGTTGCCTGGGCTGGTCTCGAACCTACAGGCTCAGGCAATCCTCTCGCCTCGGCCTCCCAAAGTGTTGATATTACAGGCTTGAGCCACCTTGCCCAGCTGCACATGGATTTTAAAAAGCAAATTTTAAAAAGTTTGAAATAGCCCAAATTTATATAAAAGTTGAAAATACAATACAAAGAAATTTCCCCCCTGAGCCATTTGAAGGTTAAACTGCCCACCTAATGTCCCAGCTCCCTGAATGCTTTGTGCATATTTTCTACAAGCAAGGACGTTTTCCTACCTGGCCAAAATACAACCATTAAAATCAGAAAATTGACATCGATAGACTGCCTCCATCTAATCCTCAAAATCCATTCAAGTTTTGCCAGTTGTCCCAGCACAATGATCCAGTTCAGAATTGTAGGTTGGTTGTATTTAGTAATCAAGTATTGTTAGTCTCCTTTAGGTTTTCTTCAGTAAACATTCCTTGACATTCATGACCTTTTTAGATTACAGACTGGTTATTGCATAGATTGTCCTTCAGTTTAGGGATTGTCTGATGTTTTCTCATGATTCTATTTAGGTTATGCAACTTTGGCAGGAATATCACAGAAATGATACTATATTCTTATTGCATGCTTTCAGAAGGCTCTTGATTTTGGTTTATGTCATATTGATTATGTTCATTTTTTTTTTGAGTTGGGGTCTCCCTGTGTTGCCAAGTCTAGAGTGCAGTGGCATAATCACAGCTCACTGCAGCCTTGAGCTCCTGGACATAGGTGATCCTTCTACCTCAGCCTCCCAAGTAGCTGGGACTACAGGTGTGCACCACCACACTTGGCATATATTTTGATTTTTGTTGTTGTAGAGACGAGGTCTTACCATGTTGCCTAGGCTGGTTTTGAACTCTTGGGCTCAAGCAATCCTCCTGCCTTTGCCTCCCAAAGTGATTACAGGCATGAGCCACCGCGCCTAGCCTTGATAATGTCCATTTTGATCACCTGATTAAGGTGTTATCTGTCAGACTTCTCCATTATGAAATTACTCCCAGTTGTAATTAATAAGTATTTTGTGAGTAGACACTTGAAACTATGTAAATATCCCTCATCAAACTTTATTTATATTTTTGTAGACTTACAGTTTATATTGTGTGCATTGTAATCCATTATTATTATTGTTTATTGGCTTTATTATTGGCATTATTATCGTTGTTATGGTGGCTCTTAGGTTCTTTTGATATGTTTCCATCATTCTTGGAGCATTTCTGTGCTTTCAGATACATGTTCCAGGCTCATCTTGTATTTTCTCTGCCACAGCCCTGGAATCAGCCATTTTTCAAAGGAGCTCTGTTTCTTCCTTTTTTTTTTTTGAGTTGGAGTCTCACTCCTTCACTCAGGCTGGAGTGCAGCGGCACACTCACGGCTGCCTCAGTGTCGACCTGCCAGGCTGAGGCGATCCTTCTGCCTCAGTCTTCCAAGTAGCTGAAACTACAGGTGCACGCTACCACACCCTGCTAATATTTTGATTTATTGTAGAGATGAGGTCTCACCAAGTTGCCCAAGCTGTTCTTGAATCCATGGGCTCAGGCCTTCCAAGGTACTGGGATTACAGGCTTGAGCTAGTGCCCGGCCTCTGTTTCTTTTAGTGGAGAATGGTGTTTAGGTGTGCTAGGTATGCTCATTGCTATTGAGTGTTGCTGTTCCCTGGCCCTTACTTAGACTGAGCTAGAAAATATATAGGTATTCATGTGTGTATATTTGTGTGTACCTATCTATCATACTCACTTTTACATCTCGATTTATATACATATATCAGAAACCATGAGTTTATACTTTTCCTGCCAATTCCAATCCAACACCACAGAGTTTCTCTCTTTTCATATTTTAACTCCTCCCTCTAATAGTGAGAAAACTGGTTCCTATTATCCGTAATATATGCACTTCTTTGATTAATGTATCTGTATGTAACTAATATCCCATTGCTGCCCTTTACTCCTCATGAGTGCCTCTTTTACATTGCCTGTGACTCCCCACATCAGACTGCCTCCCCCTGATATGGATGCTCTCTACATGCCTACTTGGCTCTGACATGCTACACCATGCCTTCCCACCTCTGCATGGATGCCCTTTTTACTCTGCCTGGGCTCTGACACTGCCCGCCTCCCCAGACCCTTCTGCCTCCACTCCAACTGGTATAGATACCTGCCTTCCTTTGCTGCATTTAGTGGCTTTAAGATTGAATTTTCAAGGAAGGGAATAGGAAGAGGTGCCCTCTGTTTCCTGACTTGAGCTGAATTTGGTTGTTAGAAGTAATGGAAGTGTAGAACCCAGTGACTGCTGACTTGTAGAGGCCTGGCCTCTTAACATCTACTCTCAAGACTGCCTACAAGAGAAGCTTTTTGATGTGGGTAAAATCAGATGAGAAAGCAAGACCTGCAGGCAAGAGGTCCACTGGCCATCAGTGTGTTGTCCGTGGAAGGGAAGAGGGTATATATAGTATGCTCTGTGGGAAGTCTAAAGCATTTTAGGGATATGGAAGGCATCAGTGTTACTCTTGGAGGTTACCTTATGCATTCATTGGATTTATAGGCCCTAAATATGGGGAGATCCAGGCTTGGCTAGATGGACATAGCCCAATAGGATAGTAGTAGTAATAATAGTAGGCTAATATTTATTGAGTCCTTATGTGCTGTTAGACTTTACAGGTGTTGCCTCATTTTATTCTTGAGTAGATGCTATTTTTTAAAACTTATTTTTATGTTTTGAAATAGAGTCATAGAGACAGAATCTCACTGTGTTGCTCAGGTTGGTCTTGAACTTCTTTTTTTTTTTGAGTTGAAGTCTCACTCTGTCACCCAGACTGGAGTGCAGTGGCACGCTCCTGGCCACCGCAGCCTCGACCTGCTGGGTTCCAGCGATCCTTCTGCTCAGCTTTCCAAGTAGCTGGAACTACAGACGCGCGCTACCACACCCAGCTAATTTTTCTGATTTATTGTAGAGATGAGGTCTTGCCAAGTTGCCCAGGTGGGTCTCGAACCCGCGGGCTCAGGCAATCCACTCACCGTGGCCTCCCAAAGCGCGGGAGCACAGGCTGAGCCACCGAGCCTGGCTGGTCTTGAACTTCTTGGAGCCATTCAGAGGCAAGCCTTTGGCTCTATTGGAATGGGGCTTCAGAAAGCATAAACTTTGGCTATTCCTGTAATGAGCAATGAGATTTCTTGTTTGAGGATTAAAGTTGAGGGAAATTTGAATGTTGGGTATAAAAGGGGAGACACAACATTTCTGCTTTGTTCCTTTTTTTTTTTTAAAGGAAGATTGGATTATTTGTGAGTAAAACTTAGGCTTTGATTTTTTATATTTAGTTAGCCTTCTGAGGAGAAGGCATTCTGCAAATTTAAAGGGAAAAGTGATTCAGTTTTTTTTTTTTTTGCACATGTTCACTCAGAAAACTTTACTAGACTTTTAGCAATGTTCCCATTACTGCCACATCTGGGTTTTCTTTTTCTTTCCTATTTAAAAAGTCCTGCAGTCATTCAGGGCCTCTAGTAGAGAGTGAGTCTAAGGCAGCAAATGAGAAGGCCTAAGGCTGTTGCCAGCTGTGTTCTCCAGGCGCTGTTCATTCCCCCAGGGTACCACTTACTCGTGTGGGGGTTGGGGAATCACCAGAATGTTGTGAGCAAGCTCCCCTGTGATTGGCTTTGTTTGCTTTCACCTTGGGAGAAGGGAGGAGAGTATGTGGAGATGTCAGGATACAGACAGGAAAGCCAGGGGCAAATGACTCCTAATGGAGCTGAGGAGAGCCTTGTACATTTTCTGCTGTTTGTCTGAGTCTACTTAGCTCCCAGGACTGATTGTACAACAGAGTCACCTCATGTTACTTTGGGACCCATAGCTTTAATGTTAACTGTTGCCACCTGAGAAGTGACTGCAGAATTTTTCTCTTTTCTCTCTTTTGAACTTTAGAGCTCCATTTAAAGATGAAGACTGATGTTGCATATTGTTTTCAGAATGATCTGGGAGACTCAGAGCTGTAATAATGCTGCAGGTGCTGGTATTAAGGTCTTGAACTTTAGCAGTGAACACTGTGACTTAGAAAAGGGGCCCAGAAACACTAGGGAGTGGCTCCTGTTGTGTAGATATTCCTGAAGACTAGATGGAACAGGGCCACAGTGGGAGGGGAGTAACCCAGGCTCTCTGTTCTTTTTTTTTTTTTTTTTTAACTTTCCCCCCCTAAGTTTTAGATGCTTCTGGATGTTCAATGCTAGCACCTTTACAGACTGGAGCTGCTCGATTTTCTTCGTATTTACTTTCAAGAGCAAGAAAAGTGCTGGGCTCCCACTTATTTTCTCCCTGTGGTGTTCCGGAGTTCTGCTCCATATCCACCAGAAAGCTGGCGGCCCACGGCTTTGGCACATCCATGGCGGCAATGGTGTCCTTCCCTCCCCAGAGGTATCACTACTTTTTAGTGCTGGACTTTGAGGCCACGTGCGACAAGCCACAGATTCATCCTCAGGTAACTGTTGCATCATTGCTTTAGAAAAGGTGGGGTGGGCAAAGAGGGAGGGAGGACAGTCTTGCTTCCTGGGACCCAAAGGAGCATTCTCATGTCTTCCTGGCTTTTAGCTACTCATTTGGAGGTCCTGCCTAGGAAGCAGGACTTGGTTCAGGTATGCTAGGGTAAGGTAGACCTGAGAAGTCTCCGGGGAGAACTGGGCACATTGTTTCTCTTTGGTCTCAGCTTTTGGATCAAAACATTTCCTTCTCTCCCATCCTTCCCCTCTCTGTTCCCCTCTTTCTCCCTTCTCCTGCTACCTTTACTTGGTCTTTTATATGTGGTAGCCAGCCTCCAACATGACCTCAGTGATCCTTACCTCCTGGTATTCATAACCTTGGTAGTTTTCCTCCTGCACTGAATCAGAGATAACCCTGTATAACCAATAGAATATAGTAGAAAAGACAATGTGTAGACTTCTGAGGCTAAGTTAAAAATTATTACATTCTACCTTATTCTTTTGGATCACTTGCTTTGGGGGAAGCAAGTCACCTTGCTACCAGTACTCTTAAGCAGTCCTGGGAAGAGGCATATATGTGTAGGAACTGAGGCATTTAACCAGAAGTTAGTGCCAACTTGCCAGTCATGTGAATGAGCTATCTTGGAAGGGAGTCCACCAGCCCCAGGCAAGCCTTCAGATGACTGCAGCCCTGGTAAACATCTGACTCAGGAGAGAGCCTGAGCTAGACAGCCAACCGAGCAACTCCCAAATTTCTTACTCATAGGAACTGTGGGTGATATAACAAATGATGATTTGTTATATGGTATTAGATAACTTCAACAAATACCATTGTTGGTTTATTGGAAGGAATACTTTCTTTTTGCTTGCCTTTTTTCCTTAGTCATCAACTGTGTTCAAAGATCTTTTACCTTTTAAGATAATGCTACTGGGGAGCTTGGATTAGCAGCAGAGAGGCACCTCTTCTAGGTGATACTGAAGTGCTTGGTGTTTGCTTTGAGGGAATGATTGGGGGCTAATGTGGCAGTTCATTGTATTGTCTTTGCCTTGAATATGCCTGATTCTAGGACCATAACTCTTCCCTGTAGACTAGGTTATAGGGTATGTAATTTTGGGATGCATGGGCGTTTTGGTCTGGAAGCAACTTTCGATAGTAAGAATGAGGAGAAGAGGACCTCAGCATTCGGCACTTGTAAAGCAGAGAGGAGCAGGGTCCATTCAAAACTCATGGTTTTTTCCAGGAAGGGGTCTGTTTTTAGAATGGTAGATTATTTTACATAAATCAGACACCACAACCTCTTTAGTTTTCCCTTCTCTTCTTTCCTCTTCTCCCTTAAAGCAGTGGTCTGCCTTTAGGGCATTGGGATGAGGCCTCCTGATCCAGGAGCTGGATAAGGAGTATGTCCTCAGAGAATGAAGTATGTCCTCAGAGAAGAAACTGGGTGAAGGGACCACTCAAGCCACATTTACTTTTCTCTGCTCTTCCTCCAGCCTGTGCAATAGGCTTCTTCTCTGCCTCCTCAAACTACTGGAGTTTCTGGTGTGGTGGAGTAGCTGGGTGGTGGGTTGGGATTTTTCCAGGTTAGGAATCAGGTATTTGTTTCTAATATGCCATATTATTTTCCCTTTTGGTGATATAGGTTCCCATGACCAAGTAAGTCCTAGTGGGATGTGAAACTAAAATCTAACACAGCTCTGTTGCATATGATTCATCCCTCTTCTGAATCCTTGTAGTCACTTGGCACCTCCATTATGGCATTTACCGCTTTCTGTTTCCTGGTGTATGCTCGTACATGTGTGTTTCTTACCTTTTCAGTTAGATTACAAACTTAGATAATCATGTAGCTTTGTTCTCTTGTCCTGCAGAGGGTCCTACCAATGTTCCTGAAGGTGAAACCTGAATCATGTCTCAATTTGGTCTATCAGTGTCATCTTTCATCTCTTTCAAGGGCATTGTTTTATTCATTCATTTATTTATCATAATGCTGAAGACAATGCAGTACAGATTTAAATCACTTGTATCACCACCTTTCTTCCCAGACTTAAGCACCAAGGCCTTCAGAACTAGGCTGAGTTAGGGTTTGATGCTGTTTACCAGGATCTGGGCCTGATTAAAGATTATCTCCAGAATCAATGAACCCTGATGATGTGATTCCAAGGGCACTTAAGGAATTGGCTGCCCTGGTTCATTATTAGCAAAGCATTAGCTGTTGCTTTAGAGAACTCGGGAAGAAGCATTTGCTGTCTTGCTTATCTTTAAAAGGAAAATACGAATGATCTTGGAAATTATAGACCCGTTAGTTTACTGCTATTCCAGAGAAGATACTTGACCTGATCGTCAGATAATCAATCAGCTAACTGCTAGAAGAGTGTGGGATACTGAGTAATAACTTACATGGGTTTGGGAAGAAGAGCAAATCCTGTCAGATCAATCTAACTTCTTGCTGTGACATAGTGATGGATTTGAGTGGATCTAGGGCAAGTGATAAATGTAATACATCTTGACTTCATTAAGCCTCTACAATGCTGTGATCAACAGTAGGGAAGGTGAGTTTGGGGCCAGACATCTATGTTAGACTACATATCAGACCACCCTCAGGAAAGGGATGGGGCAGCTTGAGACTTGTTGTTAGCGACAACTTAACACTTCTTTAAGCTTTGCGGGTAGCAGGATCCTTATAGGACTCAGAGAAATCTTAGAAAATGGAGAAAAGTCGTCAGCCCATATAGAACATCACTGAGGTCTCATAGCTCAGATTCTCAGTAGAGCTTCTCTGTGTTGTTTAGGTTTTCTGATAACCAGGGAAGTAGAGAAACTGGAAAAGCTCAGGAAAGGAAGAATAAAAATCATTAGATTTTTATTGGACTTAGTAAGAAATAAACAAAATTTTATTTTATTTATTTATTTATTTTTTTGAGTTGGAGTCTCACTCTGTCACCCAGACTGGAGTGCAGTGGCCGCTCCCAGCCACTGTAGCCTCAACCTGCTAGGCTCCAGCAATCCTTCCACCTCAGCCTTCCGAGTAGCCGGAATTACAGGCATGTGCTACCACGCCCGGCTGATTTTTTGATTTATTGTAGAGATGAAGTCTCACCAAGTTGCCCAGGTGGGTCTCAAACCCGCGGGCTCAGGCAGTCCACTCACCTCAGCCTCCCAAAGCGTGGGATTACAGGCTGAGGCACTGAGCCCGGCGACAAATTTGAATATAGTTTTGGTGACTGATTTCTTGTCCAGACTAAATGTATTCATCGTGTGGGGAGTAGTTTTAACAAGGAGTATGATGAGACTTGCTCTTCATTTTAATAAGGACAAAAAAGAAATGAATTTAAATGGAAGCAGGAAAGGTTGAGATTAGGGATGAGAATGAACTTCCAGAAGAGACAGTAAAAGGACTAGAATAAGGCGTGCAAATTAGACAGCCTTCCTTAGCATTCTCTCAGTATGGCTTGATTGGCTATCCATTTGACAGCAGTTCTGTATGAGTAGGGGCTGCATGGCTCCTGGATGTGGGGCTGGGATTGAGAATGAGAACCATCCCAGCTCCCCTCCCTAACCAGCTCCCAGGAGCTTTCAATTCTCAAGTCTCAGTGTCTGCATAGTACACTTCTGATTCTTATGAGAATATGTCCTATCCCTTGAGTGTGTAGGAGGCAGAAACGGTTTTGGGCCAGGGCCTGTTTGGAGACGTGGTATGGGGCTCATTTCTCTCATCTGTCTCTGGTTTTCAGGAGTCCCTGAGTCAACTTATTAGGACTATCTTAAAGGAATGCCATCACAAAAAACTAGCAGGTATAACCTCTGTTGTGCTTGAGTGAGTAACGATATTGGTTATAAACATGGTTAAATGTGAGATTTTCCATTTGTCCTCATTTTTGCTGTTTATTTTTGTACTTTGTTCAGCTAGGTGAAACTGGAGTGGTCGGTTTGCCGGTAATAGGCTTTTGCGTTCCTGTTTTTTATGCTCATTTTATTTGTTTTACATGTTTCCATTCAGATAAACATGATAGGTGTTGGTTGAATGGGAGACTGTTTTTCATTTGAAAACATTTTTTTCACTTAAATCTTAATTTAAATGGTTTAAAATGTTTTAGAGGCTCTAAATTTCAGGAACGTGGTTCCTTTCTAGTTTTAGGAATTGTTTCCTGATATAGAAGTAGATTTTTATCTGGTTTAGGAGAATTGTGCCTCCTTTGTCCTCACTAGCAGGAGTTCATGTTGCTCATTTTGGTGTGGATGTGCATGGAATGATGGTTGTTGTGACCCTGAGGTCCAGAGAGCAGCCTGAAAGCTTTGGTGGAATCTTTAATTGTGCATCTTTAACCTTGGGGCAAGTTCTCTCACCACCTCAGTGTTCAGAAGAGACCAAAGCAAATGTAAGTGAGGAAAATGAGGTATAGGCCACAGCACGTGGGGAGGAAGAAGTAACCTCAGCTGTCTGGATGGCCAGGGAGCGGGGCAGCCTAGCTTTCCCATCCAGGGAGCTGCCATCCTGGCTGCTGCCTAGCCTTCCTCCCTGAGATCTCTCTGGCCATCCATCAGATTCCTAGGTAGTCTTTTCCTCACTGATCTGAAGCAGCCCTGCCGACTGTTTGCCTTCTCATCTGTATTCAAGTGCCCATAACTTTGGAGAAAAATGACCTTTGGGGTTGAGGTTTTCTAGTGTTTGGTCTTTGTCCACAGGGGCTTTTTTTTCTTTTTATGAAACCTTGAAGAGACTCCATCTGCATTTTCAGTTAGAACTGTGAGTAAAGGAGTTTTTCTTTTATAGAAAATTGTCCAGATGCTGGGTTATTTTTGAAAGGTAGAGTAGGGAGAGGGTTGATGGTGACAGAGGTAAAGGGATAAAATAGAAGAGAGGCATTTGGAGGATTTCAGTGTGACCTAGAGCTGGCACATCATTATTAGTCTTTTGTGGGAGAGACATTTTGGAAAACTTTACAGGAAATTGGTTAAGATCCCTACCAAGCAAACGATATTGATTCCTTTCTCTTCCATTCAAGG